ATTAAAACAAAATACACAAATAATATTTAGACTGTGTTTCTGATTAAATGAAGCAGTAGTTGATGCCATAAAATCATGAGTATGTTTTGATTTAAAGGTCAGAAGCTATAGCTTACATGAACAAAAAAATAAATAAAATCACAAACATGATACTTAAATTAAATAATTTTATATATACTGATTTATTCATTAATGTGTAATATGTTATATTTTTTAAACAAATTATGAGCTCTAAAAGATTTTCTGAATTTTTACAACTCTTTTGCTTTAGACCATCTACAAATGTTAAATCAAAATAAAATGTTAAGGTTACCACTGCGTCTTTCTGAAAAAAAAAATGCAGCGATTTTAATATATAGCTTATTTATAGTTATTTTCAAATCTTCAATGTACTGTCATTATGAAATAACTTTATTATTGTTTATTTAATTCTAACAAATAAGTTCTTGTTAAAAACTAACCAAAATTAAAAATAATTATATATCGGCATCGGCTATCGGCCAAAATGAGTTTAAAATTGGCATATTGGATATCGGCAAAAATCCAATATCGTGCATCCCTAATTCTGACTAATAGAGACCATGCTGGTGGTCCATTGTAGAATAAGTTGTCCATTTTTATCTTTATAAATAAAATCAAGCTACATTGCCCTACATTTTCTTTGTTTAAAGGGATAGTTCACCCAAAAATGAAGATTAAGGCATCGTTTACTCACCCTTTTGCTGTTTAATACAGTATGCCTTTCTTCCATTTCTGACAACAAAAGAGGTTTTTTTTTTTTAAATGTCCTGTGCAAGCTATTTAAGGGTGTAGTCACACCAGGAAAGTCTGCTAGTTCACTTGCGTTGTTCCGGACCAAATACAATGCTGATTTTTTTATTTTGTTTTGGTGTGGTTCGCTTTCACACTGCCCTTTTTGCAAGTGAAGCAGAAATTGTAACCAAAACCACACTTATGCTAAGGTCATCCATTCATTGGTTCATCCATTCAGAGTTCGGACCGAGTCCACCTCTTCAGCTGGCGAGTGCGATTGCTGTGTTCACACCTGCCCAAAAGATCCACACCAAGGGGGAAATGAACTTGAATTCACCCTAAAAAAGACGCTATAGTATCACAGAATGGTCCCCACAGAATCCAGAGTATTCTGCGGGTATACGATGAATAGACAAACTGAAATTTAATGTTATTTAATGAATAGTCTCAGCCTCGGACTGTTGGCTGAACGTCTGATGCATGTAGCACACAAAATTGGAAACACTTCAGGAGTTTCGAAGTTGTCGTCGGATTCTGTGGCCATCTAGTGGTCATAAAAATGAATAACACCTTCCAAAGCGCTGAATTCCATTATGGCTGCTAGTTTCACATCTGGTCCTACAAATGATTTTTTTTGTTTTATTTTATATAAATAATGGTCATTGTCAAAGTCATTCATTTGTGTCGATGTACTACCACTAAAATAAGTCAAATAAATCAAACATAAATGAAATCTGTGATCTGTCTATTTTAACTCTGCAGTCCTTCGTGGGCAAAGTTAATTTGAGCTTAATGTATAAATTACGATTTAAAAAGCAATGCTAACGCATTATAATGTAATATAATGAAACTTTCACTGCAAAAAATGATTCTCTTAGTATTTCTGTCTTGTTTTCTAGTATAAATATCTAAACATTCTTGAATCAAGATGCATTTACTGTACAAGTGAAATAACTTAAGATATTATGTCTTGTTTTGTGTAAAAAAAAAAAAATAGAACAAATTATTTTGTTAGTTTTTCCTTAAAACAAGCAAAAATATCTGCGAATGGGGTAAGAAAAATAATCTTGTTTATCCTTTGAATTAAGATTATTTTTCTTACCCCATTGGCAGATGTTTTTGCTTGTTTTAAGCAAAAACTAACAATTTTGATAATTTTTTTTTAGAAAACAAGACTTAATTTGTGAGCCTGGAGCACAAAAGCAGTCTTAAGTCGCTGGGGTATATTTGTAGCAATAGCCAACAATACATTGTATGGGTCAAAATTATACATTTTTCTTTTATGCCAAAAATCATTAGGATATTAAGTAAAGATCATGTTCCATGAAGATATTTTGTAAGTTTCCTACCATAAATATATCAAAACTTAATTTTTGATTAGTAATATGCATTGCTAAGAACTTCATTTGAACAACTTTAAAGATGATTTTCTCAATATTTAGATTTTTTTGCTCCCTCAGATTCCAGATTTTCAAATAGTTGTATCTCGTCCAAATATTGTCCTATTTATTTATTCAGCATAAATCTCAATTTCAGAAAATTTACTCTTATGACTGGTTTTGTGCTCCAGGGTCAAATGTCTTAAAGTCATTTCACTTGTACAGTAAATGCATCTTGATTCAAGAATGTTTAGATATTTATACTAGAAAACAAGACAGAAATACTAAGTAAGAGAATCATTTTTTGCAGTGAATTCAAATTGCATTACTGAAGTGAAATGGGTTGTGAATGACATTCTTCTTTCTGGTGTGTGCTAGACGAGGTGAGCGAGATGGACAGTGATTTGGACGAGGAGATGGAGGAGTCCGACGAGCCTCTAACCAAGCGGGAGAAAGCGGAGCCGGAGGTCATCCAGGTGCTGCAGGTGGGAGCGATGGAGGACGGCAGCAGCGCGGTGGTGAGCGTGGTTCAACCCAGCATGCTCAGCGCTCTGCCCTCGACCGCCGGCAGTCACACCGAGCACATCCTCAGCTCGAGCGGAACCAGCACCATCCGCCACTGCGGCAGCGTGGGAAACACATACGCCTCGGTCTGAAAGCCCGTCCGTTTCTGCGCTCTCAGTGCCATCCGTCTCCAAAACATCCAGTCTTATCCTTAGAGAAAACGGAAGAGACTCGCATCCGCAGAGCTCCAGTAAATCAACTTTAGGATGTGATGAGATGCTGATTGTAAAGTTTAAAGCCCTAATGTTCCCAGGTGAAAAACAGTGCACTTCCATAATATACTGAAAGTGCTCTAATTCTGTACTTAATATACTAAAAATGACTCTTCAGTACTTCTTAAAATCAACTTAAGATCATCTAAGTGTACTATTTTGGGACACCACGAATATAAACTAAAATGCATTTTTAAAATACACTGCAAAAAATGATTTTGTTACTTAGTATTTTTGTGTTGTTTTCTAGTATAAATATCTAAACATTCTTGAATCAACTGTACAAGTGAAATTATTTAAGATATTAAGTCTTGTTTTCTAAAAAACAAATGATCAAACTTTTTTGTTTTTTCCATAAAAAACAAAATATCTGCCAATGGGGTAAGAAAAATAATCTTAATTCAAAGGATAAACAAGATAATATTTCTTGCCCCATTGGCAGATATTTTGTGCTTGTTTTAAGGAAAAACTAAGAAAATTTTGAATTTTTTTTTTTTTTTTTTGCAGAAAACAAGACATAATATCTTAAGTCATTTCACTTGTACAGTAAATGCATCTTGATTCAAGAATGTTTAGATATTTATACTAGAAAACAAGACAGAAATACTGAGTAAGAGAATCATTTTTTGCAGCGTACTATCTCTGTATTTAAAAAATGTATTTAGTTACCACTTGTAGTACACTTTCATACACTAGTACACTCAAGTGTACTACAAGCGGTGACTAAATACATTTTTTAAATACAGAGATAGTAGTTCATATTCATGGTGTCCCAAAATAGCACAGTTGAGTACACTTAGGTGATCTTAAGTTAAAGTACTAAAGAATCACTTTTAGTATATTAAGAACAAAATTAGTGCACGAAAATAGTGCACTTTATGGAAGTGTACTTTATTTTTTTTCACCTGGGTTAAAAGAAAACATTTGTGGATGACCCAGAACTCAAATCCAAGCCACTAGTTACGTATCATTTGCCTAGTCGATATTGATGACTTCTCTATTACTGTACTGGCCATTGTTTACAGTTTTGTTTAGATCATGTAATTGGCTCTTTGGTTAAGAAGTGGAAAGTCTCGCTGTGTAACTGTGCTGCTATAATCGAAGCAGGCTAGACAACTTGTCCGAGTGTTTCCAATTGCCTTCTGTTTGCAGATTTAGTCGTTTGGTAGCTTGAAAATTAGTTTGTTTGTTTTTGGTCATTGTACATATATGCTGCATGTGCGAACTGCATTGTGGGTCTTTTCTTTTTACTAATTGGACCAAAAACACAAGTGTGAGACACCAGGCTGTCCCGGGCCATTTCGAAGCTTCGTTGCAGAACAGAGTGAATGTCAGGGATTTTATGTACCTCGGGTTCATCTTAGTGCCTTAACCCAAACAACAGCTTTTCATTTGTTCTGAAGCGTGTCTGTACTGAGAACCACACCGCTAGAGAATATTCATAGTATATCCGTGGTTTGCTCTAACACACAGTAGCGCTCCCTAGTCGCCTCAGTCGTCAGGTGAAGCGGTGTGTGTGAAAGCGTGGATTTGGCCGAGGTGTGTGTCGTCGTGTGTATCTCGTCGCTCTACCTCACTTAAACACAAATCCTGACGGGATCGCGTCTCTTATTTGCCGACCCGTATGTTGTCATTTTTCATTTGAGTTCACATCAGCTGCCCTCCTCAACACGATTCGTGGACCAAACGCTGATAAATATTAGTATAGATAAAGAGTTTATAAGTTGGGTCTCGTTCACAAACAAGCGGATTTCAGTCTCAAAACATTTACATAAATTGTACTACTAAATATTTTGATAAATGCGATCTCTAATTTTTTTTTTTTTTAGTGCTGTCAAATGATTAATCGCATCCAAAATAAGGTTTTGTTTACGTAATATATGTGTGTGTGCTGTGTATATTTATTAACAATTTTCAAAAATCATGTTTTTTTCATTGTGCATTCCAATTAATCTCAAACTGCAGTTGGGTTATTTTGATATAAAGTAAAAACATTAAAAAAATACAGCTAACGAACACAATAAAAACATAACAATAAAAAAAAAAGATTTTTGAAAATATAAAAAAAACGAGTTATCTGTTTTTGCAAATAAACTCTTCACATGTGTGTATATATATATATAAATATACACAGCACACACACATATATTATGTAAACAAAAACTTATTTTGGATGCGATTAATCATTTGACAGCACTATTTTTTTTTAGACGATGGCGTTTCATTTAGTAATAGATCTAGGTTGTTGTTTGTTTGCGGTTTCATTACTGTGAAATGTTAGCGTGATGGACGGGAGATCACGGCATCCGTTAGTGAAGGTAAGGATGAAGTCGGCTGCTTGGTTTCAGGAGGTACAACTACCTTACGGATAACTTTTATACTTGACCTGTCGTAAATTGCTGTACTGTTGTGAAAAACACTGGAAAATTGTAGTTGGAAACGGCGTTATTTTCAGTGAGCGACTGTGTGCGCAGAAGCCGCTTCATGTTGTTTTATGCATTTTTTTTTTTTAATGGAAATGTATTATGAATCTTAGTTTCAATGAACGTTTAAAGTAAAAACCATCGTGATCGTTGCGGCTCAATTGAAGAGATTCCGTCAGACGCGTGCGTCCGAGTTTCTGATAATCGTGATGTTGGTTTATATTTACGTGTGCAATCTGTGAAAGTCAATTTTTTTTAGCGTAACGACCAGTTACTAAAGATTTTCTACAGCTGAAGAATTATTTCAGATTATGTAATTTACTCGATTTGCGTTTTCGTTCCTACAGAAGAGCTTTGGTTTGGTTTGGTTTCTCTTCTGTCCTCGTGCCTGGGTTATAGACGGCTCTTCGCTGTTGGATAGTTGGGTAGATGTGTTGATCGTGTGCGACGACACGACTCAAAGTGCTTTTGGTCTTGCATGCCTTCTCTCGTGCTGCTAGAATATCACGAGTTCGCTTTCGGACAGCGTGCCAGAAAGTATAGAACAGTTCAGTGCGGTCATTTTCTGTTTGTGTTTCTACTCAAACTTTGCCAAAACGCGGTTCACTTACTTTTGATTCGGAAAGTCTTCTCTTTGTTGCATTGGGGTTTTTTTTCCTTTTCTGACCAAGACACTAAAATTCAAATGGAAATCCTCAATGGACGTTACTCTGGATATCAATGCAAAGAAACTTGCCCTTCTTCTGTTATCAACATATCAACCCCTGAGGAGCGTGAAGGCAGCTTCACTGACTAGAGACTTCAGTGCCTTTGATTTCACCAAGACCTCCAGAACCAGTACAAGCCAATGGACAGACGTCTCCCAAAACGCCACACTCACCTTTGACACATATGCAGTTTAAAGGCACCCAAACTGATTCAACTGCTGATGAAATGATGACATGAACAGAACTCTATTGGGATTCCACCAATATGAGCACTGCACTATCAGTGTCATCATGAGGTTTTTTCGTTTTCGTTTTGGTTTCTTTCTATCGTACGTAGAGTGACATGCTTGGTTTCTGTCGTCTTATTTCGGGGGGTTTTGGAATATATTTTAAGTGCCATTTGACTGTTTACGTAGTGAGTCGTGGCCTGCTGTAGCGCGTTCAAATGCAAGCACAAGCATCGTGGTACTCTGAGAAAACTCAGAACTCAAGTCCTAGATGTAAATATTGAGATAAAATGGAAGGATATTTATTTACAGTCCCTTACTTTAAAGCAGTTTAATGACAGATATGTTTGAAAGTGTAAATTGTGATATTTTCCCCCCCGCTCTCTCTTTATCGTTTTGGATGATGTACCTTACATATACAGTACACATGTATTTTTTTTTTCTTTTTTGTGTGTTGTTCCAATTTACCTCTTAGTAAATTATATCCTTTGAAAATTGGTAAAAGCTTACTAATATGTGTAGAGTGATTTGTATTGTGTATTTTACATGAAGGATAACAAAACCGGGGAGCTTTTATATTTATAAAATTATATATTAACATTTAGTGTGTCAATATGAGGAAAATATAGGAATTATCCAAGACACATGTAGTTTGTTTTTTCTGAATATTTCAGACTTGAGCTCAGGCTAGCTTATTAGTGTCGTTTTCTTAATTTTGTGGCTCGTCTTTCAATTAATAAACCTTTTCTTGTTGAAACGAGGCCTTGTTGTGTTCACTGTCGCAACAATGAGTCACCCTCGTGGCGCTCTGTGGAGCGTAAATGATGAAGAATCGGGAGAAAAATAATCACTTTTTTCATAGTGAAAAACACTCTAAATAAAGTGCAACATAAATGCATTCTGTTATTCTACTGGTAAGTTCTATAACTGTATTTACATCAGGTTGAAAAATGACCCCTGCAGAAAATTCTTTAATTTAATGATAAATAATTTTTAGAAATACTGAGCTGAGTTGGAAATTCTAAAGAAAAGAAAAGTAAAACTCCTCATTTGTTGGCTTGACTCTATGAAGCACTGAAGGGGTTTTGTTTAAACATTCCTACAATTATGCAAACTGCTCACGTTTAGACAAATAGTTTTTTTGCATTTTTGCTGCTTGCTCAATTTGCTTAAATTTAAATGAGCGAATGCAAAACAATTGTTGAACGTTTTGTCACTTTTTTTTTTTGTGTACAAATAGAAATAGGGAAGCATGCTTTGAATGGGACTTTACTAAGAACATTTGAAATTATGTTTTTGAGCAAGACGCATTAAAGAGGAGGTTTGTTCATGTTCTTTTAGTGTTGGATTTAGAAGAGAAAATGAGTTATATCTGGATTTTGGTGATTAGAGCCTGAAAGCTATTGCTTTACTCAAAAAGCAATACTTATAAAGTTATTTTAATTTAATTTATATATTAGGGTTACATGGAGAATTGTTGACATAACTTAAGGGTGTCTAATTGGTCAAATACAGTTCAAAATATTCAAAAGTCGAATGCAATTTTTTGTTGATAAAACCAAGACAATATTAATATTATTAAATAATATATATGCATACACACAACTTTTTGAGTTCAAAATACTCCAAACGCAAACAGTTGCCTCAATATTTTGCGTAAAAACCAGGACAATATTTTTACAGTAATTCATATATTCGAAGATTTATGACTTGTATATATAATTTTGACAGCACTAATATATATATATATATATATATATATATATATATAATCTAA